GGCAATTTGAGGGTCCCCCCCACGCGGCCGCTTAGTCCGCTTACCGCTTAATCCGCCCATGCATTTATTAAAAAATCACCTCTTGTATATTTGTTTCAAGTTGCATGACGTACAGAGGAATAACGTTACTCACGCAATGGGTCCACTCTCAAGGATGCGATCATCAAGTGTCGTTCTAATTTAGTTTTAACTTTATAACGGAAAATGAACAGTACAATTATTAAATGACGACGACATAGACAGATAGAGACAGAATACTCGGAAAGAAACTAGGCATATAACTAAGTTTGTACAGATTGAAACTTTATTCCAGTGACTCATACAACAATTTCAAAGTCTGATTTTAAAAGGTAGACGCTTCCAAAAGTCAGTAATAATTCGACGATGATTAGAAAAATAATATTACACGAATTATAAGATTAAAAAAATAAAGAATATAATTTGTCCGCGGTAGATCTACAGTTCTCGTCGCTTGGCGAACGTCAGCGAACGTTCAATCAGGAAGTAATACGTCGTAGTGGCCACTGTCCGAGTTTCCGGTGAATAAAAGTCTAGCTGTTTCATAGTGCCAGCTAACGTGATTATAGATCACTCGTTTGAGCTCGTTTCTATCGCTAATCTTTCGATAAATCGACAGATTCATACAGTACATCTTAGCGGCCACTATGCACTCTAGTTCACTGGCGAACGTGCCTACCATACTCATGTAATTACCATAAATATGCCGATCCGATATGTTCCATTCGGCCATTACGAAGGGCCCATACTCGTACCAGTTATCCTTGATGTGTTGGACGACCTATCCGAATTAAATTTGCATAGAACCATGTAAAAAATTCATTTCAGTGGTTTTTGAACGATCGCAAAAGAACAAAGGCTTGTTATACTAGTCAAATCTTTTTTCCTTAGCGACATTTATTAAAAATGAAAGCTGACTCATCGAAAGTAAACATTACTGTTATACTATATAATTGTATGAGAAGAAATATACCATTGAACGTAGGTACCGATGTTCGTCCTCATTTTGCCACAGAATATAGCTAATCGCTCGAAACATGCAATTACCATCGCCATAAATATTATGCACGCGGAACGTGCCCTCAGCGCACCTTAAACGAGCCGTATCTGTGATAAAACAATTATTTTTGTTCTAACATTAACGTACTATACGCTGCTACGTAGTTGAAATTCAAGTAAAATATAAAAGACAATGTAGGACAACAATTCTTAAATTGCAACTCGCGAATTTGTAGGACACTGAAATTCTCATAAGCATTTACAAGAAACTAGTTTAACGATACACTTGAGAGAAGCCGATGAATTGTAACGTTGTAAAGATACGTTAAGAATTGCTGATCCAAACGTATAAGAATAAGTCGAGGTGTACCTTTTTCGAAAAGATTAGAACGCTGGCGTTTATCACTTCTGTTACGTGTGTGCGAAGAAAATTGGTCATCCAAAGTCCGGCAAGGTTCTCGACGATAAACAGGCTTCGTTTGCCTAATATCGGACGCGTGGATATCATCGAAGTCACCGCGGTCCAAGTGTTTTTCGTGTCTGATTCGATTATATCTTTTCGCATTCTTGAGCAGCCACGTACGATGTACACACTTCTCTTTTAATAGAACATGTAAACGATAATCAAAAACGATCTTTTTAAACACAACTTACCTATTTCTAGAAATCATTGCTCATCGACCGAGTCGATACCGACGTGTACTTTTATAATTTTTGTGTAATCATTGCATATAAGCTAACTGGTTTCAAAAATGAACATACAGATAGAAATAAAAAATAGTATTTATTTCTAAGCCTGTTTTATTCTGTTATTCCCTTTACCTTCTTCAAAGATTTGGCTACAGAAAAGGAAGCACCACAGACAAGGTAACAGAAACGTTTTTAAGAATGTTAACACTTGGACTTTAGTGACGTCCAGTTTAGGTTCCTTTCGACACGAACAACAAGGTAATTTCTTAGTTTAATCGATCGATGCATTTTTAATTAATGCTTGAATTTCACCCAGGAGCGGGCGTTCCATAAAGATTTTCTACTATTTGTGCGCGAATAATTTATATGAACATAATTTGGCCCTTAACATCAACATCTTGGAGAGTCTGACGTGAAATTCGATTTTCCGATGTCTTTTTCAGTCTTTTTGCAAATTGCAATGAAGGTTTCTACTTCTATTGTTGTGCATAATTTCATTATGTACAAATATAAAATTCAACCTATATAAATCTTCACAGATTGTCATCTCATCCCGAGCGTGTAAGTAGGACCGTTTCGCGAAGCTTGAAAGGTGCTGGCAGGGATCGTATAATTCTTCCCTCGGCCGGAAAGTGGGGACGACGCGACCATGGTGGGGACTGGTACCAACTGGTACTTGACGAGGGTATGCTAGGCATGGTCAGCGATGGCGCATGAGGAGAATAGTAATGGGGATCGAGATACGAGGGCGAAAAAGAGGGGAAGCAAGCCGTGCGGGAAAAATTATACGATCCCTGATGGGTGGTGGGGGTCGCAGCGAACGTCTCTCTCCATTAATCGGTCCCCGTCTCATTAACCATGATTCGCGTATGGTATACACGGTGAAGCATTGAGAAGTGATAAAACGGGAGGGCCATGCGCAAAACGATCAAAAACTCAACTGTGCTTTCAAGTATTTTAATACAAATTTATATAGCCTCTTATCAACGGCAAAAATAATACAAAACTTGAAACTGAACTATTATTATTTGTTCTGGAACAAAAAATAAAAAAAATGGATGTTTGCAACTTCTTTATAAGTTTTATTTACTTATTTAGATGTTACGCAGTTCATTGGTTGATATTGGTATAGCATTAAATTCTTTTAATTGGGATGTTCGAACGATATACTGTTTAAAACGACGACAGTTAGTCCTAAGATTAACATAATGAATATTAAGTATAATGAGGAGAATAATTAATTCAGCGGAAATAGAATTAACACATTAATTATTCATAGATATTTAACAAAACGAATGAAATAGGAAATACAAAAGTAAGAGAGGTATCGAAAACAAGCATCATAGTAAACGAGTAGGTAGGAAGTAGAGGTAGGAAACCGTGGTCATAAAAATTGAAGGACAGAATTAGAAGGATAAAGGACGGAATAAGGGACGAATAAAATTCGTGACGACCCAAAGACCCAAAGAATAAATGTTCTAAAGCCAGGTATAAACGTATCTCTGTTTTGTCCTCATTTCTAAACTTTTCAAACGTACTTCAATAGTTAGAATTGATCGATTTGTGCAAAATCATTTGTAGTTATAAACGGAGTTTACGACACAGGTACGGCCAACGAACTGTTATGACCACAAATCGTATCGCCTAGCTCAAAGCTCGGGGCTTGGAGCTGCATTGCATCGCATGTCACCACTTGCCGCGCCGCTTGCGCTTGCACCGTACCAGTTGCTCGTGAGAAAGAGACCTGAACGTGAGCAAGTGTACGAAGGAAACATGGCGGCGCATCGAAACGTGCCAGAGTGATGCAGTTGAAGCTTAACGTTCGCAACGAGTGACCAAAGAGAACCTGGCCTCGCACGCTAAAAACCATCATCTGGCCAAATGACATGGGAATTTGTAATCGAAGACATTTCCTTCTGACAATATGCACCCTCCAGCTCGTGAGTTTTGTTAATGAAAACGTTATTTTGTTCATCGTTTTGGAGGAAATCCTCGTCATTCTGTAGCTATGACACACGCACGCGATTCGCCTATCTTCGTTACTGAGTCATTATTTAGTTGTACGAAAGCAACTCGGCTTACTAAGCACGGGATCTTCCTTTTAGAATGGTTCTTTGAACATTTCTTTTATTCCTCTTTGTAAAGAGATCTACAATAAAGTTGCGACAGTAAACGAGCCGAACGATTTTATCGACAATTTTATCACGGCTCGATGGAACGGAATACCCACTTGCTTGATTATCGTATCATTTTATCGATTCACGGGTCGCGTGGTTTATCTTCTCGGAATAGAAATATCCGAGTAGAAACTGGGCGATTCATTTAACGTCGCTTCTACTACTTTCTACGCGCTTTCTTGCTCGCTAACACGATTGGTGTAAAAAGAAGTTCAGCATTGCCGTGTTGCAAAATTAGAAATTAGAAATCATGATTATTTCAAACGAATGGGCATCCACTGAAGCTTCTGAAATCACTCGATCCTTCATCATTAATCGATTACTTGAATTAACAATCTCGAATCAAGCAGAGAAATATGTTAAATGGTTCATGAACAGATTAATTGGGTATTTGGGACACTGGGCAATTGATACGGAATGAGTTGATTAAGCGTCTGGTCAGAAACAAGTTGACTAGAACGAGGGAAATTGATGTTAAGATACATAGACTTCTTAATGTTCTATTGAATTTAATTGGTGCTACTCGTTTGTCTGTGTAGATCACTACAGTAGAACGCCAGATCTTCGACTTCCTGGGCTTCATGTGGGCCCCGATACTGGTCAATTTCTTCAACATTATATTTGTAATCCTAGGATTCTTTGGGGCCTTTCAATACAGACCTAAATATATTATATCAGTAAGTATGATCGAATTTTATTCAAATAAATTTCGTGTTCTTTCAAATCAGAAACAGAAATATATATTAAAATCTTTGTCATCAAATTTATTTCAGTATTGTATATGGAATGTACTGTGGTTGGGATGGAATATATTCTTGATATGCTTTTACCTCAACATTGGTATACTGGACAAGGTATGCATATATTCCCTAAGATCTGTTTCTTCCCGATTTTAATTGATTTTTAATTGATTTTTAATTGATTTTTAATTGCAATTAATTAATATTTACAGGATGGTGATATTTTAAATCTTGGGACTGGTAGCTTTTCTTGGTGGTACGTGAATGGACCAGGGTGCAAACCAATTTACAACAATACTGAACCAGAATTATTCAGACCTGCCCGGCCTGCGAACGTGGTGAACTGTATGCTAGATTATGAAGTAGTTGAAATTTTACATGCATCCACTCAGTGCATCTTAGGTGTAAGTATCTACAGTTCTGATTAAACCCTGTTAGGTGAATTACGTCACGTAGAATGTGATCTCCTCTGTTTCAGTGCATCGCGATAGTGGGTGGTATTTGCGTAGCTAAAATTTTCTTGGAGGAAGATGATAGCTGTAAGTATAGAGCNTGTGGTTGGGATGGAATATATTCTTGATATGCTTTTACCTCAACATTGGTATACTGGACAAGGTATGCATATATTCCCTAAGATCTGTTTCTTCCCGATTTTAATTGATTTTTAATTGATTTTTAATTGATTTTTAATTGCAATTAATTAATATTTACAGGATGGTGATATTTTAAATCTTGGGACTGGTAGCTTTTCTTGGTGGTACGTGAATGGACCAGGGTGCAAACCAATTTACAACAATACTGAACCAGAATTATTCAGACCTGCCCGGCCTGCGAACGTGGTGAACTGTATGCTAGATTATGAAGTAGTTGAAATTTTACATGCATCCACTCAGTGCATCTTAGGTGTAAGTATCTACAGTTCTGATTAAACCCTGTTAGGTGAATTACGTCACGTAGAATGTGATCTCCTCTGTTTCAGTGCATCGCGATAGTGGGTGGTATTTGCGTAGCTAAAATTTTCTTGGAGGAAGATGATAGCTGTAAGTATAGAGCACAACAATTTTTATTTTTCATAGCACAAATGTCAGAATAGCATAGAAATTAGCTTTTTAAGTGCTAAGTTGGGGTACTATCTGGTGGTAAGTTAATATTCTCGCTGGTTTGGGTAACTTTGGGATAATTTTTAAAATTTCATTTGACATCTACTGAAAAAGTATAATTGCAATGATAAATCTCTTTAAATGATAAATAAAATTTTCCATTACAATGAGAAAGTATTTTGATCATTCGGATTTAATTGTGTAGTCGTATAAGATTTATTATTGCTTGAAAAACGGTTGGTCGGTTACAGTTGATTTCATTGGTGGATTTGATCCTCCACTTTGGTAAGTGCTTTGCCTGATTCACGGTTTGCGCACGTATACATATACATGTTATCTGACCAAGCACGAAATCAAATATTATTCTCGAAGTGCATCGATTATTTTTATTTTCCTCGTCAAATCTCTGGGAATGTTCAACGTTCTGTGAAGTACATTTTTAAAGCTTGAGCATATTAAGACGTCATTATCGAACCATTGTTGTAGCATGTACTTATTCTTTACGGAGCAGTATTTCTTTTATTAAGTTTATTTCAAGTAACAATGAATGCATTGCAAACGGAAGTTCGATTAATTGTAATGAAGAAAAAAAAACAATCATCTCTGTTCATGCCACGAATACGATAAAATTCGATCTAATGCAAACGATTCTGCGTCACATTTCAGTTGACTTTATGGGAGGTGATGACTTTGGGCTGGCAGGTCACACGCCGTTGCATCCTATGTACGTTAGCTACTCGGCACTTCCATCACCTGCCCACCCTAAACAAAATTCCGCTCTAAATTACCCGACAGGCACAGCTAGCTCTTGTCAATCTCAGAATACCGATTACCCAAAATATGACGATAAAATATTTAACAGCTCTAGACGAAGCAAATCTAAATCTGGTAAAAACGACGTGATTAGAACCGAACAGAGTAACTTGCCCAGTCGCGAATTAAAGTACGTAGTTGATTACGCGAACGATTATTCGAATCCGTTGGATCATTTACAAAGACCTATATCCCCGTGTGACGAGTACGATTCGTTAGACAGTGCCGCGAGATTGAAGTTTCAAAAGTACAAAGCGTATAATCTACACACGTCCATGCACAGTCCCGTTGCATCGCCGCGTAAGTCTCGTCCCGCCGATGTTAAACAAACTAAAGCCGCCAACAAGCCTAGAATCTTCACCGATTACGTTCGCGAACAACCGATGAGATCGTCTTACTCTGATCCGAGATTGGCAGTCGAAAATCAACAGAACACGAATGATCAAGAGAATCAAAACAGGTCGAAACGAGATAGTAGACCTTTGTCGCTACACGCCAGTAATTTCTAAATTGTTAGGACGAGGTACGTTTAGAGTGATTTGTTTTACACTAATCAATTCGAGGCAATACTATAGAAAGTGTATAAAGTCAGCCTCGAGAGCATATGGACTGAGGTTGCACGAACTTTGCTGCTATTTTGTAGAGAGTATTCGAGTAACGTAAAATTCCTATCCTTGCCAAATAGACAGAACGATAAGAGAATAACTAGCTTAGGGTGCCTTCTCCGATTGAAATTCTTCTCATTAATATAAAGAAGTTTTTCTTGTTTCACCTTTCAGCATCACAGTAATATTGCTAATATTATTTGTTGCGATTGTTGAGGTACATCGACTGATAACATATAACGTGTGTTCATTAGCATCACTTTATTTTTTCGTGTTCATATCAATTCTATTTAATACGAATATTTTTTATTTACCATTTGCTCATAAATAATTTAAATATACATGTGATCCATGTTGGACGAAGGAAACATGGATTTTTATGTATATACATGCACTGTGATACGTATAGGACTATGATGTAATCTGTGTGGACATATTGTTTAAAAGTTTTATTCGCGCTTTCAATATTATACGAACTTGGAATTTTTTAAAAAGTTCTGCTTGTTAGAGGATACTTTTTAAAGTGTATAAAAACATATACGAGATTGGCGTATTTTGGCAAGCTCATTCCCCAGTGGCTGAGGCAGGTTATTACACACATGTCGCTGTTAATTGTTTACCCATTTAGCAAATCAACGGTTAATGGGGCGAAATATGGCATGATCTATTCGGTGGATCATCAATCTTGAATATGATAGAAGGAAACATAAAGTACGGCATGAATGAATATAAAGAGTGAATTATATTGTAAACATTCACCAACACCGTAGGATTGTTTGTACATAGTATGTAGATACGTATTTTTATTGCGCGATAGGCGTTGCTTGGCTTAAGAAAGAGTACACTGTCGTGGAACGTTTAGACTTGCATTGAAAGTAGTGTTTGTTGTATTGTGATAGTGAGACATTTTTATTCATAAGGTGCAACGTTAGAAATACTTTTTAGTTTCGATAAGTATATTTGGTACTGCATGCTGGTACTTACGGTTTTTATATAAATTGAACGAAAATTATTTTACCTTATACTATCTTCTTTCAACTGATGATCGTTACATTCGTGTATACTTGTATACACAGATCAAACCATACGTGCAATGAAAAATATGCATTCTATTAAATTACTAGTTTCGATATTCCATACATTAATTAATCAACGAATACCTGATACAATATACATATACAGACAAGAGCAAAAATCTGAAGTGATAAAATAGTTACACGAGGTGCGGTTTAAGGCCAATTGCAGAGTGAAGTATTAATCAAGGGCAGTGAGCGAAAAACGTTTTCCGAAGATCCGTTAAATTAAAGTTCAATGTTCAATTTCATGCATAACAGTAGCCTTTTACTCACCAGGAATTCTTTTCTTCGAGTGATAATGATGCATGAACAAAAATTACAAACGAGTATGAAGACATCGCTGTTTCTGATATTGATTAATTTGCCAACGTTCGAGATCAATGCGAATTGCGCACAATGATCAATCGATAAATATTTATTACATATCCAATAATAGACAACGATTATGTAGTAGGCAGTATATACAATACAATGCTTGCTAGCCAGTTAAAGAAAAGAATAGACGATAGAGATACGATATGAATTACTATTTAATTTCCTCCGTTAAATAATTTTTATTGTACTGATAATAGTACAAATATCTGAAGTACAATACTTATAAACAAAGCTCTACAATATAATAATAATATAATAATTTCTTTTTCTCATCTTTAATTGGTATTAAAATCACTCTCGTTTGCTTATAGCAGTAGTGATAGTATTTATCTATTTTCCCCGACAAATAAGCTCGGTTTTATAAAAAATGATATTACACTTACATTGTTATTTCTATATTATAAAACAAAAATTTCTCTTCGATTGACTGTGAGTTACTTAAACCTTTGCGTTAGGTGTAATTTTTATCAAATATTCCACGAACCTGTGCGTTGCAATACTTATTATTTTTATTTACAATTGAATACGTCACTTAATGAACTCCGCAACAAAATTACTCATGCAATAGATATTTATATAATTTATTGTACATATATAATCATTTTTACAACCTACATAATTTATTTACATATTTTACAATGAAAGTCACTTCAGATCCGTTGTTGAATGCGTTGTTAGTACAATTAATATTTCTTTTATTTCTTACATTTCTCGAAAGCTTGTGTAGTAGTATCCTTGTGTATTTTGTTAAGAGAGTTTTGATCATAGTTTTATAATTTATTTTACTGTATCGTATAATTTACAATTGGCGCAATTCATCGACGATAATAAACATAAATTCCATGTCTACTACTTGCTTGCTTTTTTATTTATTAACCTTTGTTGTTTTCTTTCACTCCTTTTCTAACATTCTCCTATTATTCTTCGGGTCTTGGAGGTATCTTGTTTCTCTTTTGTTTCACACTATGTTTTGTGTCACGGAACTTACAGTTATTATTATAAATATTTCGTGTTTAGTCGTTCTCAGAAATTAACAAACTTTACTCGATAACTTATCGTTAGAATAAACGAGTAAATAAAATTAAGTCGTTGTGATTTAATTAAAAACGATTCACTACTCGAAATTTCAAGGTGCATATAGAAAAATAACTCGATCAATCCAATCGATTCTTCCGCTCGTCTTACAATTAGCTGTTTCTATTTTCTATCAATACTTTCATAACTTGCTGTGTTTGTTAATCGAGTAAACAGTGTGTATTTAATCTTACAGTTTCTGTTCTTGTGAACATTTTAAATTACTAATACCCAGATACAAGCTCGTTGATTGTCATTCTCGAATACGATTGATTAAATTTGCCTTCTGTTTCCGGTACAGCCCAAGCTAAGCGAAAGAAAAAGCAACCACGGCCTTTATACAGTATCGAATACTCGCAACCAGAACCCGCGGTTCAAGATGAAAGCGTGTCTCCAAAGCCAATGACGCCACGCAGAGTGAAAAGAAGATCAGTGATTTCTCGCGACGGGACAAGAAGGTCGAGTAGAAGAAGTTCCGTGAGACAGTCACGCAGAAAGAATCCTGTGAACAGGATCATGGACCACCAAGAGAGCCTCTACGCTAATACAACTCCCAGCAATTTGACCAACCAAAACGTGAACTCGTTGTCTCAAGGTACGCTCAATTACGATAGGATTTCTATGAGCTGGGACAGAGACAGGAACTCTAATTGGCAACCGGAAGCCGTGAACATGGCCGTGTCTTCTCCCGCGTTATGGAACCAAGATTCTTCAAATAATTATTCCAACACTACTAATGTAACAAGCCAGGATTATCCTAATTGGGATGCGAATAGTTCTACCAGAAATTTGACCGACAATTGGCAGCCGAGCGAATTGAGTCCGATGCAGTGGCAGGGCCAATGTAATCCCACCTTTCAGCAAACAAGTACACAGAGCTTGAACGGAGAAGATTTGGACGAGATTTATAACAATCGTCCGGCAAGTGCTAGGTCCAGTTACAGTAACTATCACGGCGTGAGAGCTACGCCTCAGGTTCCTAATAGAACTGATATTGTTAGGCAGAGCCAGAGACAATTCGTTCTCAGTGGACCTCCTGCTTACCAAGATACAGTGATTTGAGAGAGGCCTAAGAAATATTTCGAATCCTCCGTTTACTGGACGTTTAACTGTTTAACGAATACGTGCTAATATTGTTTAATCCTTCGAATTGTGATAAATTTATAGAAATGGTTAAGTATTTGGGGCACTTGGAATTATATTTTTAGGTAAATTTATATCGAAAGAAAGCCAACAACTAGTTACTTAATCTTTCATTCGAATCTCATTCGTTTTAGTTTTAAACGTCCAACCGAAACGTCGGCTTATTTTTCAATAACGGATAATACATACTCTTACATTGTTATTGTTAAGACACAGAAGGTACTCGATACTTGTCTGTACTTGTTGTTGTCTCTTTCAAGCTTTACTTTATAATGTTAGATGCAGCTCTTTTTGCATCGTGTTATACTTCACGAAGTATGTCTGTAAAATCTACTAATTTTCAGAGGTATTCTCGTGATATTCACCGATCTCGTAACGACGATCTACTTTCCTATGCTCCGCCTTCTTATCTCAGGACATTTTTAATAAACGCGTATTACGATCAATTGGTATCGATAAGATTTTATCCCTCTTACAATATGAAACGATAAAAAGTTATATCTGTTGTATGATAAAACGGAATGATTATGCAACTACGGTTGTATAGATTGTTTAAAAAATCTATTCTACTATTTTATGGGAGAGTAGAAGCGTTGTAAACTAATCGCACATGATTTACACAACAGTTTATGGTACCTAAATGTTCTTCATCGAAAGAATCATATGTATATTATTTACGATTATACAATCATTTTTAATTATTAATTATTTGCCGTCTTGAAAATATTTGGCAAAATGATTCACGTTCTGTGTTCTATTTTCGAGAAACTAGATTTCATTAACATTCACACTCTAATATTCTATAGATAAAAATACCGTTATTTTGAGATTGTAACAACAATTGAACAATCAAAGAGAAAAAGATAATTTGATCAAAATAAGAGTTTGAATTGCACTGTGTATCCGAAGTGCAATAAGAGATATTTTGTATGCGGACAATCAAAATAGTTTATAATGATGATGATGATGATGATGATGATGATGATGATGATGATGGGACGTGTGAAATGGAAACCAAAGTATTATACATCGATATAAGTTTATTGATAATATTATTGTAATATTCTGTATAATGTAAAACTGCCTCAATTCTTACATACTCTTACATTGTTATTGTTAAGACACAGAAGGTACTCGATACTTGTCTGTACTTGTTGTTGTCTCTTTCAAGCTTTACTTTATAATGTTAGATGCAGCTCTTTTTGCATCGTGTTATACTTCACGAAGTATGTCTGTAAAATCTACTAATTTTCAGAGGTATTCTCGTGATATTCACCGATCTCGTAACGACGATCTACTTTCCTATGCTCCGCCTTCTTATCTCAGGACATTTTTAATAAACGCGTATTACGATCAATTGGTATCGATAAGATTTTATCCCTCTTACAATATGAAACGATAAAAAGTTATATCTGTTGTATGATAAAACGGAATGATTATGCAACTACGGTTGTATAGATTGTTTAAAAAATCTATTCTACTATTTTATGGGAGAGTAGAAGCGTTGTAAACTAATCGCACATGATTTACACAACAGTTTATGGTACCTAAATGTTCTTCATCGAAAGAATCATATGTATATTATTTACGATTATACAATCATTTTTAATTATTAATTATTTGCCGTCTTGAAAATATTTGGCAAAATGATTCACGTTCTGTGTTCTATTTTCGAGAAACTAGATTTCATTAACATTCACACTCTAATATTCTATAGATAAAAATACCGTTATTTTGAGATTGTAACAACAATTGAACAATCAAAGAGAAAAAGATAATTTGATCAAAATAAGAGTTTGAATTGCACTGTGTATCCGAAGTGCAATAAGAGATATTTTGTATGCGGACAATCAAAATAGTTTATAATGATGATGATGATGATGATGATGATGATGATGATGATGATGGGACGTGTGAAATGGAAACCAAAGTATTATACATCGATATAAGTTTATTGATAATATTATTGTAATATTCTGTATAATGTAAAACTGCCTCAATTCTTTCGCAGACTGTCGTACAATGTAGATTTAATGAATTAGGCAATCAACTTACAATCTAAGTACTTAATTATCTTTATTAATAGACAACAATATACTTAGTGCTCTTTTTTTAATCGAATCTTTGAATAATGTACCTATCGATGAACAGGGTGTTACTTTTTTAATTTTATCGTGTACTTAAAACGAAATTACCGTCACAGGATTATATTCACTGAATCTTTTTAATGGGAGCAATATTGGTTACGAATGTTTACATTATTTTTTTTAATACGATCTACTGTGATACTGTGCAATGGAAAATATAAAATAATCAGCGATTTTTACCATAGTAAGATTAGCAAATCAACTAAAACAGAATTAAGATGTAATGAATCTCAAGAAATCGAAGAAGAAGAAGAAGAATCTCGTGCTCAGTTTTATTTCATCTGGCTACTCATATTATTCGCATTAATATGATTAAGTACTCGCGCAATTTCTATTTCTGAATCTTCTGTCTTTTATGCTTTAATTGGACAATAAAAATATTTATTTATTACCAGAGGATATTAGGAATATGTAAGATAAAATCCTTTTTTTCATTTGCACGGTATTATGTATTACTGTACAATTGTAATCTATACTTTAAGTTAATTTAAAAGGCGGCTCCTTTAATTACTAATTATCCATATACGTAAATATACTACACGATCTACACTCAAGATGTGTTGAGCACGATTCGCCGTCGCTTAGTATTACTATATTCACGATCGTACAATTGTATCACAAAGCAATAATTTCAAGACAATAAACAAAAGATTGAAGTTTTACTTGTTAATGTGTATTTATCAGCCCTGATCCCGAGACAAAGCGTTTTTCAGAACTACGAGAATCAGGAAAATAGGTCTATGATGACTACGAATCTCCCACCGCGAGTCAGTTTGATACCTAGCTACCAGCCATCGCACCGATGCGGTGGTGAATTTCACAATACGTGGGTATCGTGTCGTACTCGCGCATGTGCCCTATTTTCGCCGGCAGCTTTCCCTGGTGCCAGAGCACCCTTTCTGCTGCAGTACTTGGCTGTTATTGGGACACCGAAGATCTCTCGCACTTCCGCCGTCTGATAATAATTCGTACGGGCCGAGGAAAAGTATAAAAGAAGTGTAGCAAAATTTTGTGTCGTAATCAGAAATATACCCCCCACC